GTTACGTACATACATTTCTGGACCGCCAACTCTTTCAACATGCTTTTCAACTCTGTAAATTTTCAACTCCACAAAGCTTTAATTTTTAAATCGATCAATTGCATTTCTAGAGATCTAGTATCAACTCCAAATGGCTCAGTGTGGATCGATTTCTAAATGTATTTTTTTTATAATATAAATATTTGCGTATGAAACTAAAGAGCCGCAGCTTCACATCCAAAGAGCCGCATATGGCTCGCGAGCCGCAGGTTGTCGACCCCTGTCCTAGGCGAAAGTTTATCGACGCTAATAAATGTAATGTAAAAAGTAAAAACCCGTTTTAGGGATGTTTCCGTTTTGACATCAAAGTATTGATAATATTGTTGAAGGTTACTAAGTTTGTAATGCTTTACGATATAATAATAGGGAATATGCGTGCTCTTTTATTGTATAAATCCATTTATTATGACTTCCATCACACCAATAAAATCATATAAACTTTTAATAACATCATGAATGAAATGAAATGTTATGAAGTAAAATATTTAATTTCCAATAACTAAGAATCAATTCAAACAGTAGTCACATTGGTGGCATCTTGGATGACATCACTAGGTTAATTAGACGCTATAACAATAGCATATTGTGATTGATCGGTTGGCGTCGAAGGCACATCGCGAAACGTCAAATCCAATAAGAGAGTGCCTCCATGTTTTTCAAATTCGTTTATTTAATAAAACTACACTTTAAATCTAACATATTTTACGAAAGCACTGAACTTAAAAGTCGTTACACGTTAAACTATTATACAAATTCACAAGTTTGCGCGTTTACCGCAAAAAAGAACACTTTGTCGTATCTCCTCAATTTCAGAGCACTTCCCTTGTTGCCATAGCCAGTAGCGAAATCTTCGGCATCGACATATCGAATAACGTGCAGTTTCGTAATCACTTGGAAGGGAAGGCTAAATTGACCTCTAAAAAGCTTGGCATGCTCAGCAGAGTGGGATAATATTTCATGCCGCCACACCGCTTGCAACTTTACAAGGCGCAAGTTCGGCCTCACATAGAATACTGTTTTTATATACTATACTGTTTTAGTTTTTACGTGGTAGAGCCATGCTGCAGCTATTTTAGTAGTATAGTTGTAGCACGAATGGGTCGGCTCGACCGGAGAAGGACCACGCTCTCACAGAATATCAGCGTAAAATAGCAGCTTAATGCTGCTGTGTTTCGTATGGTGAGTGTAGAGAACCGGAGACCCTTTTTACTGGAAAAGAGGCATTCCATCTTAGTCCTCGAGGCTGACAACGCATCTGCATTTTGATAAATGTAGATGTTTATGGACCACAGCAACCACTTACCATCAGGTGGACTGTGTGCTCGTTTGTCACCCTATTTCTATAAAAAAAAAATCTCTGGGCCGGGGCACCCCAGCGCTAGCTCTTTTCACTTGACCACATTTAGCGCAGAGCGGCTCGAATCGTCGACGACCGAGTTCTTTCTGATCGGCTCAATTCACTGATATTGCGAAGGGATGTTGCATTCCTTTGCATTTTCTATTACATCTACAATACAATTCATACCACGGAGAGTGCTCTGAGGAATTGTTGGGTTTAATTCCAGCCGCCAAATTTCACGAACGTACATCGTGACAAAACTCACGATACCATCGACACCATATGGATGCTTGGCGGTCCACGACCGTACGATTTATTAGGAGTTTTCTTAGATTTTGTTCACTACGGCAATTTTAATGGACCGTTTCGACTTAGGGATTGGGGGTCCCAAGAGGTGACAATTTTGTTGCTGATGTCCGGTCTATTACTACTACATAAATGTCTCTGCCTCTTACTTAAGTCTACTAAACTTCTTCTAAACGGCTGGACCGATTTTGATGAAATTTTGAGTGTGTGATTAAGGTGATTAGAGAATGGTTTAGTTTCACTATTGGACCCGGTAGGTGACGTTGTTGTCGGCATCTAGAAATCAATCGTGCGAGGCCGGTGCAGATCGCTAGTAACGTATACATATATATGAATTACCTACATCGAAAGTTGCAAGATCTTGAAGAATCGCATTGAAAATTCCTGTCTAATTTAACCGACTTCGAAAAAAGGAGGAGGCTCTCAATTCCAGTATTTTATGTGTGTTACTTTTTAACTTTTTTTGAGTTATCCTTTCTAATGCGTATTTGACTTTGACTACATTGATGATGTTCTCATTTTATTTATATTGAAGTCGATCGTACAATTTTTTAATAATACTACTTGTTTAATATTTTTCCAGGTGATCGAGTAAGATAGAACATTCGATGGATAGATACTCAAACTCAAATTCTATGTATACCTTGCATTCTGATTTTCCTTGTGGCCTCTTACGAGCAGTATAAAAGCAACGTTATACTAGCTAACCTGCGCAAAGACAAGAAGACAGGAGCCGTGGTCACTGAAGAGCACAGAGTACATCGCGGCAGATTGTTCGAGTGCGTCTCCAGTCCACACAGACTATCCTCCAGAGGTTATCCTCTACATCGTCATCGCTGTTCTGATACCTACGAAGACGACAATAATTATGTGTGTGTGGGTGCTTTGCTATCAGGTGAGTTTACTTTAGCGCTATATGGTGACGTAAAAATACCAAAAATCATTTTTACAAATCTTTTAAAATCGATGTAGGTATATGATTTAAAAAGTAATAATAAAATGTAGGTACTTTTACACTTATATACCTTTGGCAAGTGTATGTGAAGATTATCTCAATATTAGGTATATATTTCAAAACCATTTGGTATAGCCACAATATTCGTTACATTGTAATGAAGTCTTACTGAAAAAGCTATTTTTCAGATTTTTCCTGGCATCAATTAAAAATTTATATATCTGTTGCTCAGGACCATTGCCAGCCCCCCCCCCCCTATTTCTGCTGAGCCAGCAGTAGATATTTATGGCTTGAAGATGAGTTAAATAATTGAAAGGAATAGTTTGAATAAATAGTGTGCAAAATATAAAACAAAAGTTATTTATTAGTTGATAAAAATCCATGGAAACGGAATTGTAGGGTGACCCACCAGCCCACCACTAGATGGAGTGACGATCCGATATTCCAAAAATCGATAGATGCAGGTGTTGTGGCATTCTTTAGGAGAGGCCTATGTTCAGCAGTGGACTTGTGAAGAGCTGTAATGATGATAATGATGATCAAGAATCCACGACAAGACATCAGTTTCTTTTCTATAGAAGGATCACAAAGAAGCACACAGTTCACCTGATGGGAAGTAGAGACTTGTGCCCCATAGACCCCTGCATGTGTTCTCGTTTAAGAATCACAATGCAGATGCTTTATTACCCCTGAGGAAAATAAATTGCCTCGTTACTAGTAGCTAATAGTTACGGGGTCTCCGGTTCTTGTCACTCACCTTGCATAACATAACACCAATATCCAATATGTTACTAATTCACGCTGGTATTCTGTGAGAGCGTGGTTCGTCCCCGGCCGAGCCGACCCATTCGAGCTACAACCATAATATAGCTGCAGCGTGGCTCTAACATAGATTTCTTTCTTATTTATATCGTGTCTATCAGGATTTCTGTCTGTTTTCTGGAGTATTTTACATATATACAAAATGCATACGGACAAACTTCTGGAACCAGAACAATAATTTGAAGACCGCACAAACATTTGTTTCGTGCGGAATTCGAACCCACGGCGATTAAGCTGAAGCCGTCTAATTTTATAATATTTAACACTCGGACCAAAATAATATACCCGTATTTGATGAAATTTGAAATTCTTTAGAAGCTAGTTACACTATGGAAAGTGTAACTCTAGCTTCTGAAGTTCGGATTTCAAATCTTCTAAACAAATTGTCTTAGCACCGACTTCAGAAGCGGTTAGGAGGAAATTATTATTTTTATTAGATCATATATTTTTCCTTTTAATTCTATGAAGTCGGCCATTACGTATTGTATTAAAAGTTAAACGTTTCATTATAATATTTTGTAGCCTATTTAGGTACAGAAATAAAAAAGACATGGTTTATAATCGATAGTGATATATTTAGGTTACTATAAATATGCTGTCATTTAAGTCACTGTTGAACGGTTATTTTATTATTATTTACACAAAGAAACTAAACGTCGATAGTTGTAACAAAGCCAATTACGATTCCCAACAGAGACTGTGTAGTCGCAATAACACTACAGTTTGTTTACAACAAAAACCATACAACCCAATGAACGTTTAGGTCCAGTGTGCCGTCCACGCCCACGTGTGGTATAGAAAAACTTTCAAAGACTACCCCGATAACAGGATGGCACTTATTCCTTATTTATTGTGATGAACCTAATTTATTTATTCTTAACTTTATTTAAAAAATACCATGATCAAAATGTTATTAAAATTAAAACAGAGCAGTAAATTGTGTATAGTTTTCGTAAGGGACAGCTACCGTACGTGTGTGACGGGTCATAGATTTTATATGGACTTGCTGCGTTCGGAATTCCGAATCGGAATATGGAAACGGAATATGGAAACGGAATCCCGAAACGGAATTCCGTATGTGTGTGGCGGGTCTTATAGTCATAATGTGCAGTGTGTGAATAAAGAAGTGAATTTGACTTCCTAGAATTGAAAAAAACAGTATTGGTACAGTGGTTCAGAGAGTACATTATGACAACAGTTGTCGCTTTTAAGTTTTAAGTCACGGGAACATAGGTATCTAATCTATTTTTCTTCTACTTTGATCACATCTTATTTATAACTAAATTTAAAATTCCAATACGGTACAGAGTCCTATTTGTAAGCTTATACATTATAAAACTAATTAATTAAAAGTATTTATATTAAAAAAAAACAGTGGTTTATTTTAGTACGAAACATAGCCAATCAAATGGGGTAGTAATGATGGTAAGAAAAATAAAACATTTATTTTTTTTAATTTAATTTATTAGATTACACTTTTATCAAATTGAACTCACAATAAATTATTCTCTTGAAATAATATATATACTTATGGTCTCACTATTTGAATAGAAAACTGGAAAGAAATAAAAAATATTATTTAATAATTGGTAAGTATTAATATTACATTTTAAGTTCATTTCGTTTTGACATTACTTTTTTTTATACATTAAGAGTCACTCAAAAACAATTACTTCAAAATAAAATTGATCATAATTAAAAATGTCTAATCATTTTTGGTAGCTCAGGGTTCCAGACCAAACTTTGCTCCTAACCAGAAACAATGAAATTTTATCTTATTTTTAAAGAATAAGGGTACATAGAACCACGCACTCTACCTGATGATATGTATGCTGTAAAGAATCAAAATGCAGATGCGTTGCCACCCCTGAGGACTAAGATGGAATGCCTTGGTTCCAGTAAAAAGGGTCTCCGGTTCTCTACACTCAACATACGATACACTGCAGCAGCATTGAGCTGCTATTTTACGCTGGTATTCTGTGAGAGCGTGGTGGTCCTTCCTCTTCCGAGCCGACCCATTCATGTTACTACCACAATATAGCTGCGGCATAGCTCCACCACGTTTATGTACCACAGCATTCACTTACTATCCAATGGACTGTGTGCTTGTTTGTCATACTACATTGCCACCCCTGAGGACTAAGATGGAATGCCTTGGTTCCAGTAAAAAGGGTCTCCGGTTCTCTACACTCAACATACGATACACTGCAGCAGCATTGAGCTGCTATTTTACGCTGGTATTCTGTGAGAGCGTGGTGGTCCTTCCTCTTCCGAGCCGACCCATTCATGTTACTACCACAATATAGCTGCGGCATAGCTCCACCACGTTTATGTACCACAGCATTCACTTACTATCCAATGGACTGTGTGCTTGTTTGTCATACTACAATCATCATTACAGCCCGTCAAAAGTCAACTGCTGAACGTAAGTCTCCTCCATAGATTGCCTCACAGGCGGAATATTTGCAATAGTTGCCACGCTTGGCAGGAGAGTTGGCAACCGCAGTTTTCTTATTCTTTGGAGGGTGCTGCTGCCCATCTCCTGCTTCAGCTTCCCTTTGCCGCCTCTTACGACACTCACGGGATGATAGTGGCTTTTCTTACGCCGCCCAATAACTGCTACAAAAACGTGAAACCTGATAAACACGCATATCTAAGAAGTTAAAATATAAAATATTAATACATGTACATTGAGTTTGTGTGACATTTGCTAATACTCGTTTAAGAAGCCCGGTGGACTCTTCATTGCGACCTGTGCCTGAGGTAAAAAGAGGGACAATATAAAGTAAGCTAGCATTCAGTCTCAGACACAAAAGCAAAAGCAAAACATCTATGTTTTTAAACAAACTTTGGCTCTGGTATTCGAACCTGGGGTCAAGAGAGGCAGGTACTCTAACCACTAAGCCACACGCTTTTATATAATAATAAAACTTATTTATTTATTTAACTTTACAAAGCAAAACCTTTTTTAATTTTACAAAGCCATAGCAATTTTACTTATTGTGGGAGACGAGAACCCAAAGAGGTAAGCTCGAGGTAAGCTCCTCTTGCCTTCATTACAATTTAAAGATAATACTTTGAACATTGAGTACATTAAGTAATATAACAAGTCTTGTGGTCGTAAACGCGATTGCTGAATATGAAGTCCCAGATTCAAAACCCGGGTCGGGCTACAAATCAGTTACCGTCAATAACAATATATAACAATAACTGATAAAGCCAATAACTTATTTAGTTTTTCTATCAAGAAATTCTAAGTGACAGCCCGGAGTTAAATATGGCGGTGTTGCACCTCCAAGAATCAGAAAACAGGTACAGTTGGTGCGTTGGTCGTGCTCCTGATCTCACTCCGGTCGTGTCAGATTACCGTCCCATCGGACTGTGAGAGTGAGGGAGCACAGCGTGCACCTGTACTTGCGCATACACATGGCTCTCAATTGAGACAGGCAGCCGTGAACGAAATAAGATCTGGAGGACATTATCATAATATAAAAACAAGAAATAACTTACCTATAAGGGTAACCTTGCGTCTTCGCTCTGAACACCGACAGTAGTAGTGAGAAAAATGCGCATACCAGCACTAGCCCAACCACAGACTGGAACCGCCGTCTCTTTCCCTCCACCGTTGTGCGCGCTATATCTGTACTCCTCACTCCCCCGGCTGCTTCTATCATAAGTATCATACCGACGACTACAGCGCCATCTTATCCGATGAGTTAAGGTCGTGAAAAATATAAAGTTTCAAGCTAAAAGTTACAGAACAAGTACATTTGAAATATTTTATGCAGCTGATAATATGTAACTACTCAGACCAATGACACCTGCAACTAGGGTTACTATCTGACCGGATAAATACGGTCTTGGCCGGATTTGAGGAGCCAAGTGTGCCCGAATTTATGCCGCGCCAGTCGCGCGAGCTAGTGACTATGAATAGAAAAAAATAATTTCTTATTCAATACAGGTTACAAGTGATTATTAATGAAAGTGGTATTAAGTTTCGATAAAAAAAACTCCTGTTCTGTCGTAGGAAGAGCCAGCAAAGAACCCAGCGAAATTTTTTAAAGTAAAATTAAACAATAAGTCTCAAGTTACAAAACTTATTTAAAAACTATTGGTAAATCCAATTGTGCATGCCCTAAGCGCATTAAAAAAAATTAAGAAAAAAATGATTCTACGTAAATTTTTTAAGGTAATTTAAATACACACAAATTTTCACAAATAACCTTATTACTAGATTTCCAATTTTCCAATAATTTTATGTCAACTTCAATTTAAAAAAAAAAGTTTTGATAATCCAAAAGTGCACAACTCATAATGCTCATACGATCATCATATGAGCATTCAGGTCACTCCATAAAGTCCAAGACGTATTTAAGTGTAAATATACTTAAATATATACATCCTACTTACTTTTAGTACGTAGTACTATTATTTATTCTGTGCTTTTAAAATATTGTAACAAAAATCTCTGATTATTACACTAATCAAGTATGTAAGAAATTTGGTTTTTGGAATATTTTGTATTTGTACAGCGATCTTTTTGAGCCACTACAAACAACCGATACAGTATCCACTCACAACGGCGACTGACGCCGAAATGAGTGAGTGAGGCAGTTTATTTAGTAAAACACATTATTACATGGCTGCTTAAACTCCCAGACAGAAAAGGAGTCGTACCACCTAAAAACCGACCCCGAACAGATGGCATCAACGTCTAACGAACCTATATTCTGTTCGCTTAGATACGGTCGCCTTCACGGAATATAAAAAAGAAGAGGAAGCCCAAAGTGGGCGGGGGCAAGCGTAGCACAATTAGGGACAGTGGAGTGTAATTGACTGTTATTCGCAGGCTCAAATTGTCGCGAGCTAACGGGTCGCTGCTTAACTGATATATGCGAAAATATGCCGTTTTGTGCAATATTGGAGTGTGAAAACGAAATCAAAAATAAAAATATTTCGAAATCAAAAAGAAAAACGTTTCGTACCTTAGGTACGTTAATTTTTTCCTTTTTTGCATAGAAATGTGACTAAACACGGACAAAATATCAGATTGCCTTCATTACAAGTAATACTCAACCTTATTTCGTTATTCTAAGGTTCATCTGCTAACACATTTTCAATAAAAATTGCTGCATTAGTGTTGTAACTACGCCGATATTAAAGTTTTCGATAAAATTTTATCTTTCCTGTTTATTCACTAACATATTAATGAAAATGCGCAATACTAGATGTCTATGAAAATATACGAAATTATAGGGTGATACCCCATGAATGAACAATTCTGTTAGGGTTGTTAAAAAGAGAAGTAGTTTAATATTACTCATGAATTTTTGAAAAAAAAAAACAAAATAAAAGTGATCTAATATCATGATGTACATAAGTATCGGAATTAATTATCATCTACAATTGGTAAAATTAAAAATTTTGTACAACCGACTTCAATAAAAATATAATTTAGTATTGATTTTTTTTAAAACCGCTCGACCTAATTCGATAAAATTTAAATGACCACTTGGGAAGTATACACTTTGAAACAAAAAGAAAAAAAAGAATTTTGCAAATCGGTTTCGAGTAATCGGTGGGCATAAAAAAAAGATTCCGAGGAATTGTAAACCTCTCCTCCTTTCTGAAGTCGGTTGAAAATTTAAAAGTGTGAAAACAACAATTTTTAAATAAATATGTGTTATTTCAATGACAATAAACAATTGCTAAATTATTGTTTTTTATTATTCTCCTTGTTTCTATTTCAAAAATTATCATTTAGCTCACTGTTAATAAATTTCCGTTAACACAACTAATTATATGCCGGCTATATGAATTACGTTCCATCACGTTATGTCCCATACGTAGTACATCCAAGGCAATATCGAATAAATTTGGCTATTTAACTAATTTTATCATATATTTTCCTATAATTTAGTATTGACTGAATATCGATATTTCAGATCACGTTCTGGCAGAGTAACTACATCACTAACATCATTCACGTAGCAGTACAGGTTAGGTAGGGCAAAGACAACGTTATGTATATTGTGTCTATAATAGCGTGAATTATTGCAACGTCAAGTAGCAATTTTTTTTCGTCAATCTTAGAAGCTTTTTGGATTAAGACATAATGATATCTAATCATCATCATCATCATTACAGCCTTTCATAAGTGCACTGCTGAACATAGGCCTCCCCCAAGGAATGCCACAAAGCACGGTCCTGAGCCATCTGCATCCATCGACTTCCTGCATGTCTTACCAGGTCGTCACTCCATCTCGTGGGGGGTCGCCCTACACTTCGCCTACCGGTACGAGGCTGCCACTCAAGAACCTTTCTTCCCATCGCTTGTCGGTTCTTCGAGCTATGGTCGGCCCACTGCCACTTCAGCTTACTAATCCGTTGGGCTATGTCGGTTACTGGTTCTACTGCGGATATCCTCATTTCTAAGTTAATCACCCAGAGAAACCCCGTGCATAGCCCTCTACATATCTCGCTGACTGACCTTGAGCTTCCTCATACGGCCAGCAGTGAAGGACCAAGTCTCAGTTCCATAAGTCTTCACTGGCAACACGCACTGTTTGTATAATTTCGTTTTAAGGTTTTAAGGAATGTCTGACGAGAAGATGTGTCGTAGTTTCCCGAACGCTGCCCAGCCGAGTTGAATCAGTCGATTGACCTCTCGGCCGAAGTTGGACTTACCTAGTCGGACTATTTGTCCCAGGTAAACATACTCGTCAACAACTTCGAGCTTAGTGCTCCCAACAACTACCGGCATAGGTGTGATATGGACATGGAACATGATCTTTGTTTTGTCCATGTTCATCTTAAGACCTATCCTTTGGGAGACACTATTGAGGTCATTGAGCATGGTGCTTAGATCCTCCAGCGATTCTGCCATAAGGACTATATCGTCGGCAAATCGAAGGTGAGTGATGTACTCGCCATTGATGTTAATACCGTATCCGTTCCAGTCTAGAAGCTTGAAAACGTCTTCCAATGCAGCGGTGAAGTTTCGGGGATATAACATCACCCTGTCTTACACCTCTCTGCAATTGGATAGGTTTCGTACTCTGGTTCTGTACTCGGATAGCCATCGTAGCCCTACTGTACAAGCACTTCAGCACTTGGATATACCGACAGTCAATTTGGCACCGCTGAAGGGACTGCAGCACCGCCCAAATTTCGACGGAATCAAAGGCTTTCTCATAGTCCACATACGCCAGGCATAGTAGCAAATTGTACTCCTCGGACTTCTGTACAACTTGCCGAAGGGTATGTATGTGGTCTATGGTGCTAAAGCCCTTTCGGAAACCGGCTTGTTCGAGAGGCTGGAAGTCGTCAAGTCTGCGCGCGAGACGATTCGCAATGACTCTCGAAAACAGCACGTAGACGCGGCTCAGAAGGTAAATCGGTCTGTCGTTCTTCAAGAGAGAGTTGTCACCTTTCTTGAAGAACAAGACCACCGCACTTCTGCCCCACGCCTCCGGTGTAATGCCATCATGGAGGAGTTAAAGAGCTTCTGAAGGACTTTAAGTACCGGTTTTCCACCCGCTTTCAGAAGCTCCGCTGTAATTCCATCCTCGCCTGGGGCCTTGCCATTTTTAAGATGCTGGAGAGCCATTCTAATCTCGCTCAGACTGACATCCGGGATATCTTCGGAATAGTGTCGAATAAGACTCGCTCTTGGATCGTTACTCACACTTGCGTGTGGCTCATCTTCATTGCTCATCAAATCATTCTTTCTTGCGAATGTGTGAGTTTGGCGACAGTGGTTCTTGGTACAAATTATACGTTTTCTTCTTGTTTTTTTTTACTCCGAAGTCGCCTTTGTGTCGCGACGCCTTGGCACGTGCCACATCAAAGGTGCCGTCGCGACTTTAAAGGTACACCCGCAGGAGAATTTGGCTCTTTGCAACCTAGCTTGTGTTTATTATTTATATTCGTATTTGATTGCAACAACCATAGGAATAAAATAGTATTCTATTTTATTTTTAGAATATAAAAATATTTATTTAACAAATACAATAAAAATTATAAAATAAAAGGAAAATATAAGTGCGCCTCCGGGTGTACCAGTATCTGTATCTTAGTGAACAGACTATACCTGTTAATAAATTATCGTAATACTAATGTCGTCAAGATAATATAACAGAACAATATGGAACAACACATGAACCCATCACAAAAAATAATATCACAATGCCACAAAGTTCAAACTATTAAAGGATACTCAGAATGGCTACAATGTAACTCTCCAGCACAAACTGTCCGTGGGATCCTCCGTTGATATAAACTGGTCCATTCTTAGATCTATGATAAAACGGAGGCCCCCTAATCTGATTCCACATCTGACCAGACACCATGGTGAAACAAAAGAACACCGCCGCGACCGCCCACATCTGTTTGTTGTAAAGGAATTCCAAGTTCTTGCGTCTAATGTATAAGAACACGCCGGCGAGGATGACAAGCGTCGAAAAAGCAAAAGCCCCTGAGTAGTTTGGTGGACGGAAGACTCTGATCTGTAATTATTTTGCAAATTAAATTTTTTAATGTCTTATCGTTTTTTTATCGACACGTTAAATTCCACGGGCCTTCACCCTTGTAGGTAAGATTAGTCTAAATCGTCACGCTTGACAAATTGACGATCGCAAAGAAGCCCCGAGAACACACAAAAAAAGTGATTATGAATACTTTTCGTCTCATTCTCGCACTCGAATTTTCTCCGAGCGATGATAATTTTTTCGTCTGTGTCAAAGGAGTTCTTGAGTAAGAAAAATAATCCTATTCCATTCTTGTTAGGTCTCAGTAGAACAGTGTGTGGTTTGTAGCTATATGGCCGGCTCATTGCCACTTCAGCTTACTAATTTGTTGGGCTATGTCGGTTACTGGTTCTACTGCGGATATCCTCATTTCTAAATTAATCACCCAGAGAAACCCCGTGCATAGCCCTCTACATATCTCGCTGACTGACCTTGAGCTTCCTCATACGGCCAGCAGTGAAGGACCAAGTCTCAGTTCCATAAGTCATCACTGACAACACGCACTGGTTGTCGTCGGGAAACAGTTTAATGTTGCTGTTTTGTATGGTTACATTCACCATACAAAACACCAAGTTTTTCAAAAATAAAAATTACTCATTAAAATTGGTTCACAATTGGTAAAATTATCACGTAATATACATACAACAAGTGGTAAAATTAAAAATTTAGTACAACCAACTTCAATATAAATAAAATGAGAACATCATAAGGTAGTCTAAGTCAATTAAATAATAAATATGCATTATTATTATTAATGATAACTACTGGTCAGATCTTGATAAAATTTATATGAGACCACATGAGAACCACCGGTTTTCAAATAAAAAAAGAATCATTAAAATCGGTTACAGTCGGATTGCGTACCTCCTCCTTTTTTGAAGTTGGTTAAAAAAAGAACAAAGATTGCTACCATTACCTTGGATATAGATAGGTTAAAAAAGTGTATGCCTTCTGAATATAAAAACTTGTAATATAAAATGTCTATTGAAATTAATAACCTGAATATCAGTCCTATCCTGGATCCATTTAGCAATAGCCTCTGCATGAATACCAGCTCTCTCAAAGTCCATGGAGTCCGCTGGTTTTGGCTTGCCTTTTGCCGGGAAGTGCATAATCACTGGAGCAGTGTTTAGACGAAGCTGTGAAGAAGCAAAGGATTATATGCTAATAGATTAATTTTCATTTAATTTTTTTTCTAATAATTGATAAGGTATGTTTGTAATTAAATATAATATTATATATAACATCCAAGCAAAAAACTTTTAAATCATCATTAAAAAATCAAGTTTTTAAAGGCTTTTTAATGATTATGGAAAGAGTAACAAAGCAAATCTATATAGCTGAAATGAATGGCACAGTCAGAAGTTAATTGACTAATTTGGTGAAACATTGAAGAAAGGCTAAATTAAGAGTATCTTTAACCAAGAAGCTTGTATGCGTAGATATATATACAGTTGCAAAGCATGCAAGAGGTGTGTCAGGATTGTGCCAAATGTGAAAAAAGTCCATAGACTTTGCCTACATCTCTAGGTGTAAATGTTTACGATTTTTAAAGGTGTGAATACTGCAGTCCATGGATACCTCCAAATGATTTCAAGCGAAGAAGCTAGCCTAAAATTTAATAGCTCTCCATAACCTAAAAACAAAGCCGTTAGTGCACTTCTGATAAGTACTTTGGTATTAACTATTGTCTAAAACTGCCATCTATTAAGCTCAGGGGGTTATTTGCATGCTATTAAGAGATTACCCATTTTCAAAAATTTCTTTTTTAATTTACTCTTCGGAATGGCTGAACTGATTGTGATACACATTGTGAACAGATAGAGAGCAATGCAAGTTGTGATCTAAGTTTATTTGGTCCAAAAACATGGAGGATTGTTTTTGTGAAATTGATAAACTCATAAAATAAATCATTTTTGATTATTATCTCCTAAACTACGAGGGTGGATTGAAAAGTACTCGGCCTAACCAAGAAAATAAACAAATACTAAATCAGTTATATTTTTATTTTTCTACATAATCACCATCAAGTTCAATACACTTTTGCCACCTCCCCTTCCAAGCATTTAGACCGTTGAAAAAAAATGATTCTTCCTTAGAGTCAAAATATGTGTCTACAGCTGCTTTGACCTCGTCGTTTGTCGAAAATCTTTGACCTCCCAAGTGCTTTTTTAGGTTAGGGAACAGAAAGAAGTCTGATGGTGCCAAATCAGATGAATACGGCGGATGTGGTAACAGTTCAAAGCCACAGTTGTGAATTTCAGCCATTGACTGTACTGACGTGTGAACACGGGCGATATCTTGATGAAACAGGACTTTTCTTCTGAGCATTCCTCGACATTTTTCTTTTATTTCCTCTCGTAAGCGACGTAATAAGGTACAGTAGTAATCAGAGTTTATATTCTGACCCCTTTCAAGATAATCAATCATAATCACACCTTTCGAGTCCCAGAATACTGAAGCCATCACCTTATTTGCCGACAAAATCGACTTAGCGTTTTTAGGGAGTGGTGAACCAGGTCTTCTCCACTGTTTTGATTGTTGTTTTGTTTCCGGTGTACAGTAATGAACCCATGTTTCGTCCATAGTAACAAAACGATTCAAAAAATCATCTGCATCGGCTTCAAATAACTCCAAACAGTCGCGTGAAATAGTCAATCGCGTCCTTTTTTGTTCAACTGAAAGCAGTCGCGGAACCCACCTCACAGACACCTTGTGGAAACCCAACTCGTTGACAATGATGTTTTGAGTTCGTTCATAAGAGATGCCTATAATCTCGGCTATCTCTCTAATTTTTAATCTGCGGTCTCCCATTATTAAATCAAGTACTTTTTTAATATTCTCGTCAGTAGTTGACGTCGAAGGCCTTCCAGAGTGGGGTTCATCTTTCACACTCTCTCTACCATGCTTAAATTCTGCTATCCATTTTTTGACGGATGAATATGACAGAGCACAATCGCCTAATGTACTGACCATGTCATCATGAATGGCTTTTGATGATAGCCCCTTCTTATGGAGGTACTTAATGACGGCACGCTGCTCGATTTGCTCCATTCGCGGAAATTATGTCCGATTACTTTGTTAATAAATTTATAAAATCACAACTAATTATCGCACACGTTTCGAACTTCACACAATGAACTAGTCTGAACTGAACTAAATAATGTGGGTAGATTTGATTTTTAGAATTGACTGGATCTGTGTTAGGCCGAGTACTTTTCAATCCACCCTCGTACTTATGACAAAGTTTCCAATTAAAGTTTCTTACACAAAAATGGTCCTCATATTTTATCTTCAAAATCGATTTTAAGCATTTACTTGACTTCCAATACCAGTTTACAAGGAAACTATGAGTGTTAAGCAATAAAGTGATAAGAATTATTTATATAAAATGAACAGATCTTCAGATGATTATTGTTCTCCCATATTATCACACATTGCTTTTAATATAATACAGCAGAAAATAGAGTTTTCACACATAGATACTGTAATGACATTACCAAAAGAATGTACATGTTCGATGTTTTTCAAAATGAAAAGCCCCGGTATGTTTGGAAAAACTAAAATGGTGCAAGGATAAAATGGCTGCATTACATATACATACATATACATAGCATAATATAAATATCTTTATTAATGGTTTATTGTACATACTTATATTATTTATTATATACTTATATACTACATATCTAAGGTTTCCACACTTTTGTATTTCCATAATGTAATTTATTTTTAACCACCTATATAACACCCCTCCCCCCCTGTTTTCAACAGAGAGGTGTTATATGTTTTGTTTGTAGTGTGTATCTGTGTGTCTGTCTGTGGCATCACAGCTACTGAACAGAAGAACCAATTTCCAAGAAGATCGATTCAGCCGTTTGAAGCTCATCAGCTGTTTTTTTATTTAAGTTATGATAACATTGTTATTTAACATATTTTTAATATAGCGTACACACTACCACAACCGTACAATAGCATAACATTGAGTTTTTTGACCTTTTCCACCAATGCATCAAATTAAATAAATATTTTTACTGTTCTTGCAAAATAAGGTTCAATCAGCAGATAAACTCCTTAACCCTTTACGTTGACAGAACCTTTAGTTACTTGATACTTATTAGGAAATACGATAGAATTGTTAGGTATAAAAGTTGAGAATATGCTTAAAGCTTACCATTTGGAAAACATCAGATCCCTCATCAAAATCAACTATACCAAAGAAGAGTTTGTTGTTGTTCAATTGCGAGAATCTGAATGAGTTAGCAACGATCAAATATTCGTCAAATACGTGTTGGCAAATAGCACACCGTCGTGATGGAGCCATAGCTGTAAACATGACTACGAAAGAATAATCCTTTGGTGGTGACTTCACATATTCCTTGAATTTGTTAAAATTTAAGGGTATTATTGACTTCTTTGCAGTTAAATCCGTCAATTGCTGAACTTTTTCTTCAAGCTAAAAGTAAAAGATAATATGTTTATGAATAAGAGATACCATTTACCGGCGCTGCGCGATTAAAATTAGAACTTACTCCTTTTGCACGATTTTGAGCATCACTTTGGTAATAAGTTAGAAGAATCGAAAATACTAGTAACGATTTATACTTCATTTTGATATTCGAGATAAATTCTTATTTAATTACAACTTAGCCAATAACCAATATCAAAGTGCCAGCAACAGCAACAGTCCAACCATAGATAAATATATATGTAGCAAGCAAGAGTCCAACAGTCAACAGTCAGTGTTGCCAAGAACTTGGAATTGGAACCTGATATCGCCATTTTTCACAGATTTAGTAGCCTAATATAGCCTAATTTAAGCTGAGGTTGCCTAAAGTTGCCCAAAGATCAAAACTTCGCTATGAATAAATAAAAAACGTAATTTTTAACAATTGGTTTATTCATAAGATGTACATAGAGTATCAAATTTAAACAAATCGGCAATCATCATTTGCTGCCAGCAGCAACAAAGCATCGGCAAGACTTTCACCGTCAAAATTTTCTGTAGCCTCTGCTGTGCTGGTCCTGGCGCAAGCTTTGCTGGAACTGGAAACATACATTTTTTTCCCAGCATCTAAACTGATCATATGATTGCTCGGTTGAAAATTGTTACAGCAAACATTTCGGACATTCATATGTATATCATACGGATTCTAAGAATTGCAATCAGCATGGGTAGTTACATTCTGTTCCTTAATTTTGTCTTTATCGTGCCCATCACACTAAAAATTCTTTCAACGATAGCATTACTTAAAGGTAATGATATCGCAATGAAAACTTGGCAAACTCTTTAAACATCGGATTCCCTCCAGTATTCTGTAATTTCAATACCTGTACCCAAAATTTTACGATATCATTGGGAGAAGCTGTACCGATTACTTCGATGCGCAACGTACTTAAAGAACAAAGTGGTTCATTATAGTTTCCCGGTCAATATTAAGTTTCCCTAATTGCCAGGGAAAATCATCATCGTTGGGTCTGCTGGTTGAGAGGCACACATGGCTTGGTGATAAATGTTAAATTTTTTCCACCACTAACACATTAAGTGGTAGCCTGTCAACTAATTCCTTCACTAAGCGCACGAGAACATGCACGCACCGGACTCTTGGAGAAATTTCGCAAATAACAGACAAATGAAAGATATAGCCGGTATTAATACTTTTAATAACAAATGTTATTAACAGCGAAGCGAATACTTACAATTTTATTGCATTCTATATTTGGTTACTTAATACGAGTAACAGGCTAAGTTAGAAGCCCTACTCCCTAACGCTTTGTCCGTGTATTTGGATCTACCCGTCTCTCTCGCACATTTCTGCAGATGAGTGAGAGTGACAGTGAGCCTTAGTTTTGGAGTATTCCTCGAAATTAACAGTGTTGCCAGTTTTTTTATTTTGATTTGTATGTTATGCGCAGGAGGTATTATTTTGCGCTAATATTAACTTCTGTTGTGATTCAGTCTAATTGACGTCGATCGTTCGTTTCTCTAGTAGCCTATTTGGCGACCAGTCGCCTTTCAGAATTTTTCGTAGCCGATTTCCATCCCGAGTAGCCTAATTGGCGAAAAATCGCCTACGTTGGCAACACTGTCAACAGTCATCATTCAGTTTTTTTTAACTGGCTTTACGGCTCTGGGTTCTAGGCCTTCTGAGCCTGAAGTTACAATGTATAATTATCCTTATAGTACACTGATTCACAATAGCCTCACATTGTGTAACCCTTGGGAGATTTTGACGGCAATTTGAGCCGGCAGACAGTTGGCGATGGTATCTCAAAGCGCCTAAGCAAATAGACACCTTATTAACTTAATATTTTCTTGAGAATCAAATCATCATCAGAGCAAAATCCACTTCAAACTTACGCAAACAGGCGATCACACGTTGGCTGAATTTTCAGTTCATAGTTACGCGTCTGAGAAGACTAGTGTCGGCTTAATAAAATTGTTTCACGAACACGGCGACATGGATATGTTTAGTTGCGATTACAGAGTACCTACCTAATAATAGGTATTATTACCACCTAATGATAAATATATATTTTTTAATCACTCTTCTCTGGTGCACATCTAAATAAAATTTTAAAGCGCTGTAACAGCGGCCGCGATCGTCCTAAAGTCCGTCATCATCTAGCTACCAACCATATGAAACACGCCAACATGTGAACGGCACCACGAAAATCTGCCGAGCGCACTCGCCAAGCGCGCCAGACCAACAAAGGGTATTCTAAAAAAGACAAGATAAGTCAGTCACAGACATATATAAATTAATATGTAGACGTATGTAGAGTTCCCTATATGAAAAAGCACTCTATGATGTAGAGGTACTTGGAGCTAGCCTAGGCCTGCCATAAATTCCGAGACGCCGACCGGGACATTTAGAACAGAAATAGGGTAAATCATGGATTATACAAAAACACTGGTAATATTTAAGAAAATTTAATCAAAAAATAAGAAACTCTTACACTACGTCCTTTTTTTTGCCCATTCATATTTCTCTGTACTTTTAACCTTTTTCAGTAATTCCTTTTCCCCTTTGACGTAATTATAAAATTCCGTGCATGACATTTTATAATTATAAACGCATTGAATGATGCTTTCGATTGTGCTTACACTGAGTGAACTTCGTTCTTTCGTCCACTGCGCTGAAATTAACGAAAACACTCGTTCTACGTGAGCATTGTGGCCTGGGATTGCAAAAATATATTGACACATTTTAAGAAGATTTGCTTTTCTTTCCAGTTCTTCGGTTTTTTCAAAAAAGTGTTTCCATTTTGCTTCCATATTTTTAGCTTTCCATTCATCGCTGATTTCACATTCAATAAACGATTTTAAGTACATAAATTCTTCATACATTGAATCATCTATTCCTATATCCTTTTCATTTAAATATTTTGTAGTTTCTTCTACTTGTTGCCATTGAGGAATATCATTTAAAATCATCCAAGCGAAAACATCAAATTTTGTCATCGGCTCTGTCCACTGTTCGAGATAACATATAGCAGTGTTAAAGAAATCTCCTGTTTCTTTGTCAAATGTTTCGGATTGACTTGTATTAATTGTGCCTTCATTCTTTAGTTTGTTATAAAGTTGTGTTGTTTGATTGCCTAAATATTTATTTATCAATCTGTCACTCAACTGTTTTTTTGTATCCTGTAATACATTTTTCACTTCAACAATGGTAATAACTGATTTTTCAATCTTTTTAATTTGTTTTTCAATCAGAAATGCTTGACTGTGCACAAAAAGTGTGTAAACTTCTGATAAGGGATCAGCAAAAAAATCGACTACAGCTTTTGGGGCTTTTGCTTCCTTAGCGAAAAATTCTTTCAATGGCAGCCATAACTTTAGTATGCGTTCAATTGCTGGAAGTAGTGAAAGCCACCGACTTCTGGAATGTGAGAGTATATTGTTGTATTCTATTGCTGCTTGCTCACAAAAATCTTTAAGCCGTTCCACTCTTACAGTGAATATGGAAAAATACTTGAAAATTTTCAGAACAATAGACTCCACGTCAATCGACATCACATCGGCAGCAGTGGACGCTGTATTGTGCAGAATGTGCGCTGGGCAACCGATGCCTTCAATGTCTTTGGACAAAATCTCCTTTAATTTAAAAAAAACATTGTTAACTCCGTACCTATCTCTTCCGCCAAAGTTAGTGTTTGTGTTATCCCCGCTGAAAGCAACAATATTTTGTACGGGGATGTTCTGATCCTGCAACGATTTTATACAAAATGAAGTGATTGTATCAGATGTTTCATTCGGCAATGAGTCTATTTTTAGTAATTTAATTTGCAGTCCTTCTTTTCCGTAAAGTACTGTATCAGCAGTGGAAATAACTTTTCGGCTTTGTGATTGCTAGAATCGGTTGAAATGCCGTAAAAAGGAACTTTTTCGACTTCTGTTTTAATTTGCGCGATCGAGTGTGGAGCTAAAATGTGTTTAATGATAGCAGTAGCTTTTGTTCTTGCAGTTGATTGTTTTGCTGCGATACTTGAATCAGGATACATTACGGCATTCAGTTTTGTCGTACAATCTAAAGAGCTAAACGATTGGTGGTGCTTTACGACTTTATAAGCTGTGGTCAGTTCGGCAGCGCATATTAACATGTCTTCGGCAGTACATTGCGTGATCATAAATGTCGATATATCTCTAGAAGTTGATGCAACTGATAATTTCGTCTTGTGATTTTTACTTTGGATATGGTCTTTGACACTTGACTTACCGCCGTGACTGACAGATATATGAAAGCCGCAAATTGAACAAAAGGCTTCATAATCATTTCTTCCTCTTTTAATGAATGACCACTCTTTAGTATAATCGTCCGAAAACAAACACTTTCTTTTTGGCATGACTTTTTAGCAAAATACCAGACTGGCAATAAAAAAACTAAACTACGAAATACAGGATAACGCGCAGCGCAAATTAAGTACGTTGTTCTCTAAAGCAATCAAACGAAACACTGCGACGACGCGTGACGTTCAAGGCGCGAGGGCGGAGGGGCACGCGGCGCGGGACGCGCACGTAGTGTTGCCAACTATACTTTAAAATAACGTATCTTACGGTATTTTGCTTGATTATACTTTATACTTTTGAATAAGAAAAAAGTATCTAAAATACTTTATTCTAACTTATGCGTGAAATATTGTGTGAATTGAATGAAAGCAAGAATTCTGCCAAATTTCTGAATTTAACTCAGTCCATTACTCAGAATTTCCAATCATTTTATACTTTCACACATACACAGAACAGAATAACAACAAAATACATTATCATACAACTTTCGAAAAATCTGTACTGTCAGTACAGTCAAGTGTCAGTCAATGTCTCCAGTATATATTGTACTCTGTACTCTATGCTCAACGTTTGTTGTTTCGGTGGAATAGTAATAATTATAGTGTATATAACCGTCTGAAAGGAATATACGTTATTTTCCTTTGAAAAAGTTGGCAACCCTACGCGCACGTGTTAATAATCAAAGAAGGCAGCTAGGCTCGCTCGCTCGACTCCGCTCCACTTCAACCACTCGCCGATCGCAGACGCTGCACTTAACTACACAGGGGTAGCTTGCGAATTGTGTGCACACCGGGACAAATGACCTGTTGACCGGGACACCGGGACACAACGCTTCAAACCGGGACATGTCCCGGTGTACCGGGACGTATGGCAGCCCTA